AATTTCTGAATATTAAAGAACGTGGCTTCATAGAGTCTTACCCTACATGTGTGCAGGTTGGTATTCAGCAATAGACTCAGAGGAGGAAATTTGTAGGCATCGGATGCTTTTTCTCTGTTAGGTCTTTTCTCTGCAGACCTTGCTCAGTTATCTTGGCCTCAAGACTCCAGTCCCTGGCTGAGTGTGATCACCAGATCCTGCTTGGGTTCCGTCTCTCTGCATAACTTCAGGAAAGTTCAGCTAGGAAGAAAGCCAGGGTGATCACAGGACTCACCTCATTCATTTCCCATTTCTGAAAGGTTATCATTCTCCCCCACTTATTGCCCAGCACTGCCACATGTGTAATATATGTTTATGATGGCGAAAACAATATGGGTTATTCTGATCCCACTGAAAGCTAAGTTACCTTAACTTACCTGAAAGTTAAGTATTCCTGAAGACAAGGCTAATATATATTCATTTCTGTGATTTCTGAATATTTAGGACTTGTTTTAGTCTCAGTGAGTGCTAATTAATAATCTATCTAAAATAATAATTCTTGATCTTTTTGATTTTTATTTTTTCTTTTTCAAAACTGATATTTTATCAAGTGGTAACTATATGAGGCACAGATCAGAACTTGATTTGTGTTACATCCTTACCTCAGCCTGTGGTATAGCCAGTACATTTTACATAGGTAAAGTTTTATCTCTTCATTGGTGAACATGGTGATGCAAATGTTCATTGATGATGAGACTTAACCAAGATCAGTAATTGAATCAGAGTTCATCTCTAGTCGGAGAATGTGGCTTTCAACATTCCCAGTGCAATATCCATTTGAATTTGTGATAAAATTACTTGTGGATCTTGTTCTCAGAAATAAGATTATAGACATGTATAAACAAAAATGCATGTTTAATGTCAGAAGCCCCTGGAGACCTTCCATTCATCAGCCTAGTCACAATGACAGCAAGGGGACCCTAACTGGAGCAACCAATCATGCCATGCACTGTCATATTAAGTCACTGAATTCTGAACTTTCCTTCTTAATTCCTAGTGATTTCATGTTACTTTTAATGATCACAGTTAACCTTGCAAGACTATCACTGTTCTCCTGTGGCGTATTACAGATGTGAGGCAGCATGTGTGTATCCTGCCTGGTGACACCATGTCCAGGACGTAACACTTAAGAAACCCATCCTAAGAACAGTGGCATATTTAGAATTAGCTATATGTTCACATAAAAGGTCATCTGGACTAATGTCATCATGGCTTGTATTTAAATTACCTCAAATGTCCAGTACTTAGTTGCTTAAAAATCAGTTCCTATTGTAGTAAGACTTTACAAGAGAAAATATTTAATACAGGACACATGATTTATAACAGTCACTCAAAGAATCAAATTCAAAAGACTGCAGAAGATCTTTTCACACACTAGAGACCCAAAGAATCCATCTAAAGGCCTGGGTTCCTCTCTTTTTCTATAGGGTAACTGTCCTTTCTCAAGGTCAGTTCTTTCTGTTGGGTCTTAGATCCCACTCTTTCTTTTCTTTTCTTTTTCCTTTTTTTCATTTTTACCGGTACCAGGGATCGAACTCACGACTGCCTGCTTGCAAGGCAGGCGCTTATGCCGTTGAGCTAAATCTTCAGCCCCCCCCCCTTTTTTTCTTCTTCAAGAATACTGCTTTCATTTTTTCTCTTTTTACTACAGCAAGCCTGTTGCGGGAAGTGGGTTACTGGGAATGTGGCATCCAAGGGTCTGTTCCCCTCCCTTTGTCTCTCTCTGCTTCCTACGTGCCATAGTAGAAGCTGTTTCTCCTCCACCAGTCCCCTCTGCCCTGCAGCCTTGCCTAGGAGACAGCTAACTATGGACTGAAACCTCTACACACTGTGAGCCAACTTGTGGGTGTTAGGTATTTTGTCCCAGCAATGAGAAAAATAACTAAAACAACTTTTTTTTTCTAAATCTGAGCACCTCAGTTTTAAATTTCTCATTCTGTGCATTCCTGTGCGCAGTGCTCACCTCAGCTGACTTCTGCATTTTGCACTCTAACCCCTGTATTCTGACTTTTTCTTTTTTTGCCTTGTCAACTGCTCCTGCTTAGTTTCTTTGCTGACTCTTCTGTCTCCAACTGGCCTCCGAACTTGAAGCACGACCTTTGAATATTTCTTTTTTTCTTTCTACCTTCACATTCAAGTGCTTCCGTACAGTCCTCTGGTCCTATCATCTACTGTCATAGTCACCTTCTCTTACTCTTCTTGTCACTGAAACACAATATGTGTCACCTGCAACTTAAAAGAGAGGTTTATTTTGGTTTGTGGTTTCAGTTCAGAGTTGGTTGGCTCCAAAGCAGAAATAGCATGGCAGGAGGGCCTGGGTGAAGGAAAGCTGATCATCCTGTAGCAATCAGGAAGCAAAGAGAGGAAGGAGGAGCCCTAGTGATCTATCTCCATCCACATCCCATCTCCTTGTAGTATGTCAGCTATAAGCACCCCATGATCCTATTGCCTTCTGCACGCAGGAAAATTTTGAGAGAACACATTAGATCTAACCATCGCATCTGAAGATGGTGCTCACAGTGATTTGGGTAGTGCCTTCAGATACATTTAGTTGTCACAACTGGGCACTGATGCTACTGGTGTTTCCTGAGTAGAGCCAGGAAAGGCACTGAATATTCTAAAATGCACAGAAAGCCCTTTAACCCAAAAGTAACCAGTTCAAATGTCAACAGCATCCAGGATGAGAAGCCTTGATCTATCTAGACCTCTTTTCTGAACCCTAGACTTCCACATCCCAAATCCTTGTTTGGTATTTATCATATACTTCACTTTCATATATCCCAACCCAAAGGTTTGATTCCTTGGCTTCTCTAGAAAATACAACCGGAGACAAAACTTATATACTAATGGTTTTGTGGTGGGCGTGAACTAAAAATGATAGGGCACAAGTTCAAGATGATGACTTATAAACAGGTCACTGCTTCATGAGCAGAGAAACTGCCTGTCACTTGAGCAAATGGTCTGTTCGCCATGAGAATAGTGAAGGTGGGAAGGGATGTTTCTTTACAGCTCCATCCTGGCTTACGCTGTCCACCAGGCAAGCTCCTGTTGGTCTGTCCAGTTACTACAATGCATCCAGATGGCTCTATAGCCTTCGGGAGTTGCCCTGCAGTCTGGAGGAACCCAGATTCCATTTACTGGAGAATGGTTAATCTCAGGAGGCCAAACTCAGCCGCCCATAGAACAGGCTTTTCCAGGAATACCTACAGTACAACAAGAAAAGCGGGGAGATAGAAAGGCTCTGCTACCCTAGTTGTCAGGGAGGCACACAAGGCCCCAGACTTCATGTGGTGCAGTCAGATGGGATAGGAACTGTCCCAAATACTCCTCCAGTCCATGATATCACATCCTAGACACAGCCTGGGAGACAATGAGAAAAATTTTCTCGCTTCACATCACAAATTCTACCTTTTCTATCTGGAGGCAGAACCTTATTTCAAAGTCCTCACCGCAGTCTCACCACTCCAGATGCTCTCTGCTTATGACATCTAATAACTTCAAATTTGTACATTGCCAGAGCAATCTTTCAAAATCCAAATTGTAGTCTATTACTACATGGATGCAAGTCCTTCAGGATCTTCCCACTGTATTCAAAATAAAATGAAATTTTCTCACTGCAGCCTAAAAGGCTATGTCTCATCCGGCCTTTGCTTACCTTTCTGATCCACCTATGACACTCTTCCTCCATGGCATTTTTCTATCCATACTGGCCTTTCTATCGCTCACCTGGCCTTTGTTCTAGGACCTTTGCATTTGTTCTTCAATCCATTGGTTTGATTTTCCTATTCCTGGCTCTTTCTTTTCTTGAGCCACTTTGTTCAATTGATACTTCTGTAGTGAGGCCCTTCCTACCAGCAAATCTGTATTTTTTTTACTGTCTAGCCTATCTTATTTCTCTTTACCTGGTATTATAATACATGGCTTATCTATTTATGTATCTCATCATAATGTGAGCTCCAAAGGGCCCAAGGTCTTGTGAATTTTTGTTATTTCTATGTCTTTGGTGCTAAAATAATGTCTCACACATACCTGGAAGTGAGCAAATATTTGTTGAGTGAATTAATTTCTTCAGACTCTTCCAAATGGAGCATCTCCATCAAGAATGCTGAGTTATCTCCACAACTTGTTTCCCATTCCTTGGAAAGCCAGCTTGGCTCTACCTGAAGACCCCCCAAAAACTCTGAATTGAGGAAGGCGGGATTTTATGCAGTCTGTGAATCTCTCCTGGCAAGGGGATCTCCAAGTGCTGAATCAGAGCACAGAGGACAGTTTAGGGGCGTTGCACGGAGGGAGAGGGTTATTGGGTGTGAGATGTTAGAGCACTAGAGAAACAAGGGGGCAGAGAAGCTCGGCATCAGGAAAACATTGTCAGAAATGTTTATGGTGGGCACCGGGGTTATGTCCAATAGGACTCTTAAACAGCAGCAACCAAAGCACCAAATTCCAGGGACTTGACAGACCAGGGCCCCAGCCTTGCACTCATTTCTTCGTGGGTTTTATGTTTGTGCGATAAAGCAGTCGTGCTGATCGTGGGGACTGTGAAGTTACTGGGGTAGAAGGGTACAAATATGTACGTGGAATGTGGGAAAGGGCAGAGGGTCTTGAAGAGGGAACTCATTTCTCATAAAACAAAAGCGGGCTATGAATCTGGAGGAGAGGAGAGGAGAAAATAAACACTTTTATTCTCTGAAAGGAATGCTGGGGTCTGAATCTGGAGGAGGAATTTAACTAGCTCCACGCCGGGATGGTTGCACAGCCTGGTCTACCCCGCAGAGCCCGCGCCTTGCACTAACCACAAAGGAGCTGCGGTCCCAGGCATAGATGAAAGCAGTGGGCGGTGTGGGCGGCAGCGAGCGAGCCTTGGTGGTGCGAAGGGGCGGACCCAAGGCTGCGTGAGAAGCCAATGAGCGGCGGCTCTGATTCCTCATAGGCGACTCCGCAGCAGAGCTCGCAGGAAGCTGCAGGCGGCATTCCCTCCGCCAAGCAGGGGCGCAGCGCCTCCGGGGGCGCAGATTGAAGCGCTTGGGCTCACGGGGTGCCACGCGCGTCCCTTGCGCTGCCGGGCAACCTTTCCTGAATCAGTTGCAAACCCGGAATGTAGCCTTCGGTAGGCACTAGGCCGGGGAAAGAGGTTGCGGGAGGCTGGGCGGAAGGTGGGAGGTGAGTAGGCGAATTGCTTTTCAAGATTCGTTCCAATTAGTACCAAGTTGGCAGACAAGCCCACAAACCCACAACGCCTTTAGTCCCCCGCAGGTCACATCTTCTGCCTTTCAAAATAATCCCATCGTAAGGAAACTTCGGCTCTTGGGTTAAGGTAAAGAGGGACCAAAACTCAGCACTACTGCCTTTTCCGGGTCACACTACAGGGCAGACACGTTAGGGTCCTCAGCCCCTGGTCTCCATCCAAGTCTGCGCCCCTGACGCCGGGCTGACGGGGAGCGGGGCGATTGCAGAAAGCTCCCTGCAGGAGACGTAGAGCAGGGCGAGGGAAGAGGATTCTGTGTCACAGCACAGGAGCACACCCGTCCAGGAGTTTTGCCAGGAACACCAGCGCCTGCATTGCGTCGGACCTGACCATTCCCAATGTGAAATTCCCGGGGAAGGTCGCGCGCGGCCGGGGATCCGGCGTGCACAGGGCTGGTGCAGACCGCAAGGGTAGTAGAGCTGGTGGTCGGCTTTTCTGGCTGGAGAGTAAAAAGCTGCGCCGGCCAGAGTGGGAACTGAATGGCAACCCCCCTTTGCCTAGCCACCCCCTCCTATTTTCCATCTACCTCCTCGCTCCTGCCCTCCCCCGCCCTCCCCAACCCACGCTTGGGTGGGCCAATCGCTGCTCTGCATTCCAGGCGCTTTCTCAGGTTTCTGCTGATCTTGCAGCGCCCAGAAATGGAGCGCGCGGACCCGCTGCCGCTGCACGCGTCCTGCCGCACTCGGCGCTTCTGAAGGCTCCGGTGCGCGGGGCAGCCTTAGCCAGGGCCGCGCTGGGGAGCGGCGAGCGGAGAGCCCGAGCGCGCCATGTAGAGCCGAGCTAACATCAGCCCGCCTCCTTCGGGAACGAGTCGAGGGCTCCCTCCGTGTTCGGAGGGGGCGAGTGTTGTCGATCGTCATTTGCCTCGGAGCTTCGGGAGAGGGTGGCGTTTTTGCTTTGCATCTCCGCATCCTCTGGAACTCCCTGCACCGGAGGCAGGACGCCGTCTCCAGGTTGGAAATGGGGGTAGAGAAAGGACGTTTCCGCCGCAGCGGCTCAGGAGAACAACTCTCCGACTGAGAGGGGCGCAGCACGCGCGGACGCGCGAGGGCGGCGAGGGGCCCGCGCCTCGGATGCCACGGGTGGCCGCCAGCGCTTCACCGGGGACTGCAAAGGCGACCTGCCGCATTCCACCCGGGCTCGCCGCCGACCCTGCACGGCCTGCGCCAAGCCGCCTGTCAGGTAGGGGGCTCCCCAGTTCCGGGCCGCAGAGGTGGGGGCGGGTGCCCGGGTGGGGGAGGCCGGTGGTCCGGAGTGCTGCCCGGAGACCCGAAGCTTCCCCAGCGTCGCTCAGCGCTTTTCCGATTTCTAGTTTAACGAAGTTTAAACGGATCAGCTGCTAAGCGTTGGGGAAACTGGGATGGAAGAACCCCAAACTTGGATTTCTGGGTGTCGCGTGTGTCTGTTTGTGTGCATGTGATACCCCGGTAAAAGTCCAGTGTTTTCTTAAACAGCTAAAAGTCTGTGCTCTTCGGTGTCTGTAGGTCCGTCCCATCTGAATGCTTCTGATTTTCTACCCCATATCACTTTCTATTTCTCTGCAGCGTCCATCGATCGATCGCCCTGGTGGGAGCTTAAAGGCGGCAGGCGAAGAGGGGTAGGAGGGGGGAGAGCCGAGGAGCAGCACGGGGGGTGGTGGGCACTGGGATCTGCTGAGCTAGCACTGCACCCAGTCCCGGGGGCTGTGGAGGGGAGGGGAGGGGAGGCCAGAGCAAGCCCGGAAGCCATGGCCCGGTCCGCTAGAACAACACTACGTTAAGGCACCTCGGAGCAGGAGCAGGAAGAAATACCAAACACAGCCCTCGAAGCAGACCCAGAGCTCCCTGCCCCCACCAACCCTTGCACAGAAAAAAAAAAAAAAAAAAAATCTACACTCGGGCCTGCAGGAGGAGGGGACCCCCAAACCTAGGGAAAGGAAAGGTGGAGGGAAGGTAGTGTCTGGCCTTGTTACCTTTGAAGCCCCTCCTCCTGTGCCTCGCGGACTCTCACAGTCCGGGTGTGTGTGGGGGCTCCCGGGTACCCCCACTCCGTGCACCTCGCCGTTTTGCAGCCTCCTGGGCTCTCTCTTGGCCTCCCGCCCCTGCGCCCCGCTTCCACCATGACGGTGATGTCGGGGGACAATGTCGACGAAGCCTCCGCTGCCCCGGGCCACCCCCAGGAGGGCAGCTACCCCCGGCAGGCGGACCACGACGACCACGAGTGCTGCGAGCGCGTGGTGATCAACATCTCCGGACTGCGCTTCGAGACGCAGCTCAAGACCCTGGCGCAGTTCCCCAACACGCTGCTGGGCAACCCCAAGAAGCGCATGCGCTATTTTGATCCGCTCCGCAATGAGTACTTCTTTGACCGTAACCGGCCCAGCTTCGACGCCATCCTCTACTACTACCAGTCCGGGGGTCGCCTGCGCAGGCCGGTCAACGTGCCCCTGGACATGTTCTCAGAGGAGATCAAATTCTACGAGTTGGGCGAAGAAGCCATGGAGAAGTTCCGTGAGGATGAGGGCTTCATTAAGGAGGAGGAGCGCCCCCTGCCGGAGAAGGAATATCAGCGCCAGGTGTGGCTGCTCTTCGAGTACCCCGAAAGCTCAGGGCCCGCGAGGGTCATCGCCATCGTCTCTGTCATGGTCATCCTCATCTCCATCGTCATCTTCTGCCTGGAGACGCTCCCTGAGCTGAAGGACGAAAAGGACTTAACGGGCACCATCCACCGCATCGATAACACCACGGTTGTCTACAGCTCCAACATTTTCACAGACCCCTTCTTCATCGTGGAGACCTTGTGTATTATCTGGTTCTCTTTCGAGCTGGTGGTGCGCTTCTTTGCCTGCCCCAGCAAGACGGACTTCTTTAAGAACATCATGAACTTCATTGACATCGTGGCCATCATTCCTTATTTTATTACCCTGGGCACGGAGATAGCTGAGCAGGAAGGAAATCAGAAGGGCGAGCAGGCCACTTCGCTGGCCATCCTCAGGGTCATTCGGCTGGTAAGGGTGTTTAGAATCTTCAAACTCTCCCGCCACTCCAAGGGCCTCCAGATCCTGGGCCAGACCCTCAAAGCTAGTATGAGAGAGTTAGGGCTGCTCATCTTTTTCCTCTTCATCGGGGTCATCCTGTTTTCTAGTGCAGTGTACTTTGCCGAGGCGGAAGAAGCTGAGTCGCACTTTTCCAGTATCCCCGATGCTTTCTGGTGGGCGGTGGTGTCAATGACCACTGTAGGATACGGTGACATGTACCCTGTGACAATTGGAGGCAAGATCGTGGGCTCCTTGTGTGCCATCGCTGGTGTGCTGACAATTGCCCTGCCCGTACCTGTCATTGTGTCCAATTTCAACTATTTCTACCACCGAGAAACTGAGGGGGAAGAGCAGGCTCAGTTGCTCCACGTTAGTTCTCCTAACTTAGCCTCTGACAGTGACCTCAGCCGCCGCAGCTCCTCCACTATCAGCAAGTCTGAGTACATGGAGATCGAAGAGGATATGAATAATAGCATAGCTCATTATAGACAGGCCAATATCAGAACTGGCAATTGCACCACAGCTAACCAAAACTGCGTTAATAAGAGCAAGCTACTCACCGATGTTTAGGAAAAGCAAGTAAGCAGGCAAAAAAGCCCCACTCAAAAAGACTTAAACACCCCAGTGACTCAGGTCACACTTTGTAGATACTTTACTAAGTAGTCTTTGAATGCTTTACTTAACTGTCAATGCATTGTTGCATTGTGAATTTTGGGAGTGGCGAACTAGAAATTTTCAAGATCCATGCCAAAAATTAAAAAAAAAAAAAAGGGAAACTATTTTCATTTTGTTAAAAAAATGGGAAAGGAAAGAGTTATTTTCTAAAACCAGCTTTAAAAACACAGTCCATGAACTAATCCAGGTAAGATAAGATTCCTATGTTTCCCCCTATTGAAACATTTCTAATCCTTTGGCTTCGTAAAAAATTTTTTTTAAACTGAAATCCAGGTGATTAGTTAGAAATGTAAAATTAAAATTTGCACAAACTCCAATTTAAGATTTTTGCAAACCTTGCAGCACAGTAAGGCAGTGCTTCTGACCTATTCTATGTACCGTAATAAACCAGCTACAATGGGCGACGAATACATGGTTTTCTTTTGATCAGCTGAACTGCATATTGAAAGGTAAACAAAACCAGAATCACTTCAGACTGGCTCATAAAGCACCTTATCAATCTGATATTGGTCCTAATCTATGAGAATTTTCCCTCTGCCCTCCTTCTCAGACTTCTTATCCAGACTCTTCTCTAAGAAAAGAATAACTGAGTTAATCTAATTGATTCATCTGCAGTGCTGCTAAGATTTCTTAACTGCAGGGAATCCAAACACAGGTCTTTCCTCTCCAGTCCTGCCCCCTGCCCCTGGTCTTCAGAACTGGATGTCAAATCTTAGTCTCCTTATTGCAAGAGAGCACAAATGGAGTTACATGTAAGCATGCTCTAATCCGGTAACATTTATTTTATAATCGCATGCCTAATGTTAACCCAGACAATAGGGAATAAGTTTACGTTGAAATTGACTCTTCTAAAAATAGATCCTTTTTCATTTGCATTCACCAAAAGTGCACTCCTTCATTTATTAACTCTTTTAGTAAATAAAGGACTGTATTTAAGTACGTATGTTAGTCAGATGGGAACAATAACTTTTTGGAGCTCACAGCATGTTCTCTTATTCAGCATTATGGCCTATTTGATGAAGATGTACCTTGAATTAATTAATGCATGATTTCAGTAATAAAAAGTTTAAAAATAATAAAAATTTACCAGTCCATGGGACGAAAGGCCCAAAAGAAATAATAGGGGTGGGGGTGGGAGACTCAGTTAATTTTCCTGCGGTTGATCAAGGGAAGCGTCAAGTTTCTGTGTAGGTTGGGGCAGAGAGAGGACCAATATGCCCATCCCTTAAATGGGAACTCTGTGGAAACTTAATAAAAGTCATCGAGGTATATATAGTAACACCTAAGAACAAGTATTCTTTCTAGCTGAAGATACACCAAGCAAAACAAACACAAAAAGGTGCAATATTGCATGTTTTTGGTGCATTCTTAGGATGTAAATGATAATGTTTATCTCTTGTATGCATCCAAAGCAGAGCTGATTTCTTTTTGCAGTCATAATTTGAAGTCTGTTGAGACTTTGACTCTCCCCTTGAGGCTCCCTGAAGAAACTCAACCAATTGATTTAATAGTTGCTTAGTGCCTTTATCCTGTACCCACAGTGAACTGAAGACAGTGCCTCCATAACACAGCTGAGAAGTTACGTAAGAGGGAAGGAAGGGTTGGGACATAGATACTTTGCTTTTTTGTTTGTTTGTTTGTTTGTTTTTCCATCCTCACTCTCTCACTTCACCACTGTGAGAAGCCCACACCATCCTAGATCCTGGAGAGGAGAGATACAGAGGAATGCTGTCTCTCTGACCATCCACTGGACTTGGTCCCTTGGGCAACCTGACTCTGAACGTGACCTGAGACCCATCTTTGAACTGGACCTGGATCACGAACTCATTTTTTTTTAACTTCTTCTTCTCTATTGGAAACCAAGAAACTTTTTGGGAATTTGTATCCTATGGAGAGTCACTCTAGACATGCAAAGCTTCGTCGGGTCCAGCATGTGCTCCTGGTACATTTCCTTATTCTTTTCCTGTTCACTATAGTACTTTGCAAATCTCTGATAGTCTGGTCTTCTTAGGCATCATAGTGGATTTAGGGGCACTCAGTGCATAACGACCTCTCCTAGGCCTTCCCTCCTGGCCCACCTCATTTAGGTTTCCTATGATGCAGCTGTGATCGTCCCACCTGGCAGTCACTTCACAGGCTGAGCATCTAACTTCTGCCACCCCCGGCATCTGTAGAGAATGGTGGGGACCCTGAACCAGTGCAAAGAGCCAGCAGCTGTCCACCAATAAAGACGTACTCATACGCTTTCTAAGGACAACGAAGTGGAAAACCTTCATTCTGCACTTAACTTCTAGTTGCCTGCTGTTAACTACGTTACGTTCCTGCCCTGCCTTTTCTCTGATTTTCCCTGTTCCTCCATCCCTTTCACTATTCTGTATGCAAACTGTCAGTCAGGCAATCAACCAGAGGACAACCAAGTCAGACTGACTGACTGGATTAAAGGAAAGAACACGGATGCTTTGTTCCCTGTGCAACTTTTGTGAATCCGAAAGATGAACATAGCACACTTCCCGAAGACGAGGGGCCAACAACAGTATAGCCTCTGACTCCAGGGCATTAACTCCTTCTGTGTGATGTTCCTCCAAACTCCTCCTGGCTGTCCGTCTCCTGCTTGTTCCGCAGTCCTCCCAGATTGAAGGGAAGTGCCAAAGCCTCCTCCAATTCCAGGATTATCTTGATCTTTTCTTTTGACTTTGAGGTCTAGGACACAACAGAATTTAAAACACTGCACTCTGTTAACAGCAATAATCCTCTCAGTACTGTGGAATGGATGGGTTAGAGGATGAGAGAACAAGACCAAGCCTGTAAAACGGACCCTGGCTGCTCAGCGGACTCCTTCCTCATAGTCACTCTGGATTGACTGATTCTTCTGCACGCATTACAGGAATAAGTGCTGCATGCAGGGAAGCTGTTGTACTGGGGCTGGGGATGAGCTGTTGTTATGAAATTGGGGTGTTATGGGGGAGAAGGAATACTGCTTATCCATCGGTAGCTCATTGCAGTGAATTTAGTGAGACTGGAGTACAGGGATTATCATAGTGTAGCATAGGCATGCAACGTCCGACTAAGCTCTTATCCCTTGCACTGTAATGTGCTGAAATGTCTTTGTAGGCCTGAAGGTGCACTTAACAAAACTACCTACTAAGGAATGACTGTCGTTTGGTTTACTTATCTCATATTCATTTTATCAGACTTTTTGCCTTTCCATCCCCTTAGATCCTGAGCTTTGATGGCTCATGGCCCTGATTATTAGTTTTCTTCAGAAGAAGACTTCTGATGTGCTGATAGCCATAGCTCAGCCCTTCCAGCTGGGTGCCCTAGTTCAACAGGGTGGCACTGGAAGGTTGGGCCACGTCAGGGCTTTTAGTCATCCCAGAATCTCTGATGTGATGAACTCACCTCAAGTGATCTGAACCAGAGAGACCAAAGACGTTAATTTTCTCTGTCCTCAGATTTCTAGGTATCAGATCCTAGCCAGAAAAGATTTGGGTTTTTTGTTTTTGTTTTTCTGTTTTTTGCATCTTTCCCCCATAGCCATCTGTGCACACCTCCTTCCTTTGAGACCTGATGATCAGTAAGTTCATTGGCTGGGTATATGTTAGTGAGATACCCCAGCAAAACGTGATCCATGAACAGCAAGCTTTTATCCCACGTTCTGGCCAGTGGACAGGCATTTGTCCAACAGAGTTGCACAGTGCGTTTAGATTCCACAGCGGTGGAGCTGAAGCACGAGGGACACTACGATCCTCATTCACTAGAGAATATGACCAAAAGATACACAGAAATGGTAAATGAGGACTAGATTTCCTAACTGGAAATTTAGTTTGGTCCATAAAGGGCCTTCTTCATATTGCATATAGTTACACATTTTTCACATTGTCTGAAAGAATCCGTAAAACATAGTTCCTAACCCTCCCATTTACTATAGGAGACTTCCAAACCTATGATTTTTAAAACTGATTTTAAATTTAATAGATTGAACTGAGCAGGCATGAGAGCGAGAACATTAGCAGAAGGCAATTCCCCATTTTCTTCCAGGAACAACTTATTCCTGGGAGTGGTGAGAATTGGTGGGTGGCAACTATCCATAGAATAAAATTGTTAGAAAGACTAAACTGCCAAACAACCACTTCATCTTTCAGTATTTTTCAAGCAAAAGTGAAGTCCTTTGGTGTTTATGTTCATGTTAAGAAGATAAACAAACTTAAAATTTTAAGACCAGACACCCCTCCCCCCCACCAAGTTGAATTGATCTCAGGAAGTGGCCTCTCATCTCCCATGCAGTATATTAGCACTTGTATTTATATCGGGGAATTTCAGGGTATATGTGAATATGTCTGGCATGACTCAGGTAAATTTTAAAGGAATGTACATTACTTACCACTTTTGTAATGAAGCGAACAGGAACTTAATTGTTAACCAAAACTATTCCATTACCTTGGATCACTGTGCAGACTTATTCAGGGTGTAGACAGACATAGGTGAGAAGCCTGCAGATCAAAGGCTAGTCTCTTTGCTCAGACGAAATGACCATGGGCTCTCTGGGAAAGCCCAGTGTGTATGTGCAGGGTAAGGCCTCACTGACCTCGTGGCTGTGAGCTTTGGGGAGCTTTAGGGATCTGAGTGACAGTGATTTTCATTTATGATCTGGAGCTTCACAGTGTCTAGAAAATTTTGTCCTACAATCAGAGAAGAGTGAGGAATGATATAAGGAAATGAAACAAAACAAAACAAAACAAAACAAAAAAACCCTTGCAGAATACTCCAGGTCAAAAGCTGTCTCCTTTCCAAACTTTGCAGATGCCCTTTCTCCTCCTTAGTGCACTGTTTTGGAATCCCGTGTGCAGTGACTGTAAGCAGTCTGCGTGGATTTCTTTATGACACATGTCTGGTATTAACGACAGCATTACAGAGGTTAGGAGTGAAAACTGAGTAGTAGTAACTTGAAGTGCACCGTTAGGACAACAAACCATTTAAGCTGAAAAGATTTTCTTTTACTTCTTGAATTTGCCAGTTGCCTCCCCCTTGAGTTAAAGATGTGTCTCATTTCCCCCACCCTGGCCGTCCCCTCGTCCTAACTGTTCACCACGTCGGGTAGAGGACATTGAATGTTATGAATTGAGAACCTAATCGATGCGCATAGTTTTCATCTATGCAATTTTACTTGCTTCTGTCACTTTATGATCTGTTCATACTTGGCATCAATTAAAGATAATTTTTAAGGATCTTATTATGGACTGCCTTGTCTGCTTATTTGTCTCCTCTTTAAATGACCTTTGGGGGGCCCTTTGTTTATACCCTCTGGTATAGGGTCTCTGTGAGCCAAGATGGAATGGAGAAGGAGCCTTGTTTCCTTTGGTGCTCATGGAGGTTTCTACTGAGGACTTGCAGCGGGGTTGCGTTTTGATAATAGTTTGATAACAGTTTGGGCTCAGGTAAGATCCCGAGTGGAGGCTGTTGGAATTTGGCCTGTGAAAGTAATGGTGGATCAAGCTGTAAAAAGGACAAAATAAAATAAAATGAGACTAGAAGGAGTAAGTCATTGGTTATATTTGCTTATATTGCTATTAATCAGAAACTGTTTTTTCATCCAGTCTGAGATGTGGTGGGAAAGTTAGCTAGGTGTGTGTGTGTGCGTGCACGCACATGTGACAGTGCTGTGGGCTGGCGCCTAACAACTTGAGAGTTACACCGTGGTATTAGAAGTGATTTTTGAGGTGACAAAGCAAAGTGGTTCCTCGTTGCTCTTCACCTGTTCTTTTCCCACATAGTTCTGTGTATTGTTGATATTTCTTTCTTCCTGTTTTTTAATGACTTTTGATGCATTTTTTGGACTCTTCTTAAGATTGGGACCTTCTCTTTCTTTGTGCTTATCCCATTTTACACCAGTGATTTCCTGTTCCAGAAGACAGGGTTGCACACTTCAGGATGGGTGCCTGTGATGTGCCCTGTGCACCGGGGCAGCTGGTGCCTTGTCATGGAGTTCTCTTGCATGGTGACGGGTTCCATGTAAGAGGTAGAGATGAATCTTGCTTTTGCTGTAGCAGCTGCTGCTGAAAGCAGATTTGGAGGCTGTCTTAGTTACTTTTTACTCATCGCTGAGACAAAATACCTGATGCACCAAGTTGGGAAAGGAAAGGTTTATTTCCTACAGTTTTTGGAGGTTTCAGTCCATACTCAGTTGCCTCCAAGGCCGGCTGGCATGGCAGGGCCGAAGTTCATGAAGGTTGCAAACAGCAAGGCTGAAACTGGCAAAAGAGCAAGACACACCTTCTTCCTGCCATTACATCACATCCTGGCTCCACCCCTATGTGGGTGGAGCACTGACACCATCAATCCAAGCACTAGACAATGAACCAATCACAAATGCACAATGCAAACTCATGAGGCCTGGGGGCCACCGACATAAACTATGACAGAGACTGTTTAAGCTGTCTGTGATTTTTCATTTAAGGTTAGATGATAAGATGACAGACCACGTTAACATCTGACTAAGAAACTAGGAGAAAGCTAGATCTGTCCCAACAGTAGTGGGCTCATGTTCCATTGCACGTACCATCTTCAGTGTGCACTGAACAGTCCACTGTTCAGTCCCAAAATGTTCTTCTTCAAGCAGACACTGCTGTAGAGAAGGCCAACCAGAGCAGTGGAGGGTAGACAGCCATAGGATCTGATCAAAGTACTTCCACTTCTGGGTAAGGAAGCTGCCTCTGTGGTCCCTACTTCTATACGCTATCTTGAGGAGGTCAGCATTGAGGCCCCTGGTTGCAAGTTCTGTGCAGATAAGGCTCAACATGTCCCAGCTGTGAAACTGGAAAGCTTTCCTTGGAACAAACCTAAAACAGGTAACCCAAATTTCCCTATTAAATTAATTAAAGCAAAGATCCCATCAACATAAAATGCACCACTATTTGATATATCTGTGAGAGAATAGTGAGTGTTAGGATTCCCTGTTACATTGATTCATCCTGATTTTAGAGCTAGAACAATGTGTATTTTTAAAAAAGAAATCTTAGAATTGATGAAAACACAGTGATTCTAATGCATGTCTCCTTTGCTTCCTGCTGTGATAAAAGATTTCAATTCTAAATCCTTTAACTTTAGCAGTTTTGTTTGGATCTGAACTATGGCTAGAATCTTTCGCGTTTTGGTTTTTATTTTCGGTGCTGAGGCATAGAATCCAGAACTGAATAAGGCCGTACCACTTTGACTGTCTGGTTAGAACCTGTAGGTATTCTTTTAATGATATTTTTAATCTCAGAATGTTCCTGCTCGAATTAATCCTTAACTCAAGCTTTTTTTCTAGAGATTGGAGATGTGTTAACTAACAAAGAAATATGTTCCACAGACCATTTATCCATTGAGGGCTTTACCTGGGTTCTGATGTATAGAACGAGGCTGGATCTTTCTGTCCATCCCTGTTTGCCCTTTCATAGCATTCTCTTCATCACCCATTTTTCCTATCACCAACAACTCTTCGCTGACATAAACTTAAAGGCGATCTGGCAGGTTTTCCCCAGTAAGGTGCAAATAGCAACACTTATTTAGTGTAGCTCTCTTTGCAGTTTGCAAATCACTTTCTCCTTAATTATATTATTTTATTCTTCTTGGCAAATTAGATAGGACTGTGATGGGTATTTTTATTTTGTGGGCTAAGGGACCTGCTCAAGAGAGAGCAGGCCTGGGTATATTAGGGATTCTATGGTTTAGTGTCTGGCTCATGCTACGGACTGAATGGTTATTGGGTTTCTTGAACGTTAGAAAGTGTCTTGGCCTGTGTTTAAGAAAGATCAGGGGATTTTGCATAGGCAGTTAGTCTCTTTGAGCCTTTTAGTTGCTTGTTTCTCAATAGAAACTAATACCTCCTAAAGGTGTATAGATTAAATGAGATAATACAGGTCTATATGTTTAACAAATTCAAATGTGTTTTGTAAGCAGGAGTAGTAATGGATATGTTATTAATTAACAATGAAAGGAAGAGTAAGAGGAGAATGCCATTGAGTTAAACCTCCCCAGAGCAGGAACATATTCTAGAGGAATATTCTGGGAGATAAGGTACTTGCTGTAGAGCGTTAACTCGGGTGGTTGAAGCTCTGGGGGTGGAGGTGTTTTCCGGAGGAAACTTCGGTGTGGCCTACACCTAACATCAGACAGTCAGCAGCCTGAAGCAGGCAGAGCCACCATTTCTAATCCTGTTTATCCCCTGCTCTGTGATGTGGATCCTATTTCATATCTCTGAACCATAAGTATCAAGAGGCTCTGCCATGGTACTATATGTCAAGGAACAAGAAGGTATCTAAGAATTTTATCACTTCTGATTGCCTCGTTTCCTTGTGTGCAAAATGTTACCTGGTTTGACTTTTTTCTTGTCCATCCATAAATATTGAGAAACAAAGCAAGACGTTGGTTGGGCAGTTTTGTTATCTGCTTGTTTGAGAGCTATTTTATCAATATAAGAAACTATTAGCTGTCCTTACTAAAACTAGAACGACCCTCACAAGTACCTATGAGCCAATACGATTTCAGAATAGCAATACTATAAAGATGCTTATAAGAATTTATAAGTTACAGATCTCTGTGGTAATCTAGCCCTTCCTTTTAAAAATAATTAGATTTATACAGCAGTAAAACATGGTAGAAATTCACTGTATGGGAATTTACCGTAATTAAGAAGTGGGAAATCAATTAGAATCTTTGATTCACAAAAGATTTTCCTAGAGGATGACATTCAAGAGCTAAATTGAGTTAACTTATCTATTAGTGATTTTTAAAAATAGTTTTTATGTGGTGTGTCCATGTTTGCTATGATAGAGAGCCTCTTTTAAGTATTGTTTCAATGCTGAACATTAAATTCATTCTAGTGACATCTCCAGAGAAACTAACTCCAGTTGAAATTTACTTTTTTCATAATGGAAATTAGAGATGGTCAGAATGGAAATCAGAAATGGTCAATGAACAGGGGCTTAACTTTAAGATAATAAGTGAAATAAATCGGACTCACATTTGTAAATATTATATTGTCTGCCTCGTGTAAAAAATAAATAATAATAACAATAAACTGAAAGAGTAATAAGATCCAAAATGTACAATAGATGTTGTAATAATGAAAGGGAAATAAAGTGCTCAAAAGGAATGGAAGAAAGGAAAGATTGTGTACATGTAGGTATACACATACAACTGTATGTATGTATACGTGCGTAAGATAGATATATACTCCTTTACTACTAGTTCACTGTTAGTTCATCAAAAAGAACAGTGTGTGCTGTCATTGTTTGTTTGATAATTTTTTATGCCTAGATCTTGTAACCTGAACAACTGTTTCTAAGATAACAATGTGTAATATATTAACTGGTGTCAATTTTTTCTTTTTTTAAAAAATTCTGTATTATTTCTATCCTTTTTCCTGTTTTGTTTTATTAAAATAAAAAACTAATAAAAAACATAATTATGCTTTGAGCTTAGGGCTAAATCCAACTTTTACTAAAAATTCTTATTTCTCGATATAGTGAATTAAGAGTGTTTGGAAATCCAAGATATTTTAATTATATTTACATTAATAATTGCACTCTCCCTCTCTGTCTTTTTGAATTCTATGCAATGTCTTTTTATTCCTCAGAAAGGAAATAATTTAGTTATATGTGAGTTTCAAAGAGGAACTTGTCTAAGACTAAGACTCACTGCACAGCATGTTCTTCCTTCATTATTAACAGGCAAAACATTCTTTTAATCTTAGAGAAAGTCGTACTTATGTCAGCCCTTCAAAGATGAGACGCCTACCTACGTTTTTGAAAAATTGCAGGATATTAGCTTATTGTTACAGGATATTTCTAGTGAAGATGGAATAGCTGTCTTTGAAATTTCAACATGATGAAAATCACATTTGTTGGCATTTAAAAATAATATTCACTCAGTGGATAAAAATGAGCACTGTAAATATCATTTAATCATAGTGTTGGTCACTCCAAGAATGGCATAATGCACCTGTATGTAAGGGTTACTGTGTTAAGAAAATGGGTTGGGTTTGCACACTGCAAAATTCTTCAAAAGATGCCTCAGAGCAGAATGCTTTAGTAATATATATAATCATATATAATATCATATATATAGATATATATGATATGAATATATATTATATATATATATATATATATATATATATCATATATGACCTTTACCTGTTTGTGAACCTGTTAGTATCACTTGTGTTACAGGGTAGGTATACACTAGCTC